TGATATTCTGATTAAATTGACTAATAAAATCATCTGTTTAATATAAACTATAATAATAATATTTTAACTAGAATAACTTTTATTAAAGATCATCAATTCATATAAGAGTTTATTATCCTGCTTATAATTCAATTACTGATATTCTTTTAAAGCAAGAAATAAATCTTAACAATAATATTTTATAAGCAAAACATTATACGTATTCTTAACAAAGTATACTTAAATATATAATCAAGTTACTCAGAATACTAATTTTATTCTAAATATAGCTGATCAGTTCAAAATTTTAAATACATACATCATCTACTTCATTACACCAAGTTTTGTTTTAGTGCATTTCCTGGCATAGTACATATCGATGAATTAAAATCAATACTAATTTAGTAACCCAATACCACAAACAAATATGTATATTGAAATACTTACTCCTTGCTTTGTTCTTAAATTTACTTTGAAATAGAATTAGGCTGAAGCAATACCCTGAGAATTTATTATAATTTGGATCTTAGAATTACTACTGTACAATATAAGAACAATAATATGACAATATTTGAAAATAAAGATATTGCATACATACCTTGTTAATTTAACACATACTCTAAATCTAAAAAAATAAAATTATTGAAATGTCAACTTCGCGTAAATAAAAAATTCTAAAATTTATGAAATTACTATATCTCTAGATAATAGCACAAGTACATCATGACTTGCTTATATACATAAATGACTCTGTACAAAAGCAGATGGATCCTCAAGAGAAATGATTTTGACTTTCATCACAAAAAAAAAAAAAGCAAATAAAAAAAAAATGGAAAAAAAATGGTATTTCAGGTTTCGCTATAAAAAAAAAATTTCTAATTTTTATGTTCAATATTATTAACGAAGGTGAAATTTTGAAGCCAAATTTTAATTGCACAAAAAATTTATTTTTGTTTTAATTGCAATACACCTAAGCAAGCTAATTAAGTCAAACAAAAAGCAAATATTGTGATAGATAATTTAATAAGCACAATCATAGATCTGCTTATTAAATTTAATATGCATATCATAAATCTAATATATACATCATTTGAAATAATCTTTTGTGAATTTACAAGTAGAAGTATAATGACCGGGCCCATGGCAGTTACTGCAATGTCGATTCTCTAATTTGAGTTTAACACCACCCTTATTTGCTTTAACGTTAACTTGTTTTGCCAATCTTGAATTCTCTTTATTTCCTATAGCTAGATCTTAAAAAATATTATCATCTTGTGTGGAACTTGACCGTTTGGGGCGCCCCTTATAGGTTAATTTTTTGGGTTATCAATTTGAGTTATATCAACTAATATTCGTTGATTGGCATTGATACCAGTATGATTCTCAATAAATCTTGTTATCAATTCTATGAATTCATCAACTAAACCATTTTCAACAGCAAATTTTAATTCACTTTTGGTGATACCAAAACCATAAATATACTGTTGTCTTTGTGCAATGTTTGTGCAAATACTAGATTCAAGTATATCTGGTCTATAAATTGATGTTATATGATTCATTTC